TTAAAAAGGGCTACCTGGAAAGCGCCACCGTAAATATGTCTCGTTGCTTCCAAAGCTGTGAGGAAGTGATTTTTAACATATTTCCCCCAAAAAAATCGCTGCTTGTTCTCAGCTTTGCAGATGGTTTCCCAGGTTGACTCGTTAGAACGCTGAGGAAGGACAAAAGCTCGTTTGGCAGAACAGGAACTCTGTCATTACTCATGTTGGGAGCATCTGTCTCGCTCGTGTACTCGGGGTTTGGGAGCTGAATAGTCTGTGGAGAGTTTCTTCTGCTTTCACTTATGGGGGACATTCCTGGGGGATGATGAGGTGTCTACAGCTCCGATTGTCAGGGCTGAATAACCCAGACACGTTTGCTGCCCTCGCAATTGCTGCGGGACAAACCCAGAAGTCTGGAAGGATGAAGTGTTAAAGTCCCCAGTAATTTCCAGCCTGGGCAATGCGACCACAAATGGCTTCTCCGGAGAACAAGAAAGCAGGAAGCCTGGCTTTGTGGAGAAAAAAACCCCCAACAATATTTATTTATTTATTTATTTATTTATTTATTTATTTATTTATTTACAGAGGTGTATCATAACTTGTGCTTTGACCCGAAGCTGTCACAATTTAATAAAGCGGTGTGGAATTCCACAGCAAAGGGGAAAATATGCCTCTCATAGAGGCCACACTGTCCTTTTTAAATGGTCTCAAGTGGATGAAGGCTGTGCCTTGCATTTGCTTTCCCCCTCCAGCATCCTCAAGGAGGCTTTGTGGAAGGAGGGTGGAGAAGTTTGACAATCAGGTCTCGACACCCCTTCGAAATCGACCTCAAGGATGCTGGAGGTTTTGAGGCATCTGCTCTCAATTGTCACTGCTGGAAAACAGGGAGAGGAATTTAAAAATAAATAACTTGGCACACCTTTGGTTCTGTGGAGTTGATTGAAAAAGCTGTCTCTGATGGAAATCAAATGAGGCAATATTTGCAGCCCGCACGACGTAACTGAAAGGGGTCTGCAAAGCTTGGGCACCGTGGAGGTTTGCTCTTCCTCCTGTTCCTAAATTCTCTTTATTTCGGATATTTTCAGTGTTTCAGTGTTGTTTGGTTAGTGCTGTGTTTCTGTAGAGTAGATGGAAGCAATACGGTGTAGTCTGCAAAAACATGTGCCTCGAGAAATGCAGAGCCAAATAAAAGGGTGGGTGAAGAGGGGCAGCCTTCACAATTTGGCATTGAAATCCTGCATTTCTGCTCAAAGAGATGCTTTTCCATTTCCTGGTTTCAAGCACCTCCCTGATTTTCTAGAATCAGTATTTGTGCACATCACTGAGGTTCAGGCTCGAAAATTCCAATGCCCATTTTGAGGTAAAAGCGGCCCATTGCATTGTGGGGGAGCAGAGAGCTCTTCAAAGGTACAGAAATTAATTCTTTTCATTAAGGGAATAGAGAGAGAAAATGCAAAAAAATCAAATAAATTCTAATATGTTTAGAAAGACTGATAAAAGGCTAAAGGAAAGGCATGAAAGAGGCAGGAGGAACTTCAGAAGTTCATGAGACACTGTTAGTTTTCCCTGGCAGCTCCCAGCCCCTGGTGATGGGCTGCAAGATGAGCAGAGCTGGAGATGTGGTTGGGAAGGTCCATCCCTTTCCTTGACAAGTTTATGGATCCTAAAAGGAGGTGGGAGCTGTACCTGCAAAGGAGGGATTTTATTTTCATTTTGTTGGTAGTTCTCCTGTGCAGATGTAAGGAATAACTCCTGGGTTTGATTTCATCCTGCTTTAGCCTCGAACCAAGGACAGCTCAGTGTGCAAGATGGCTGAAATTCAGGATACTGAGTGTGTTCAGTGAAAAAAATTCCTTGGAGTCAAATATATTGCTGAATCCCACCTTAAGCAGGTTTACTGTCTCCTTTCACCCCCATTTCTCCTGTCCAGAATAGAACCAGAATCTGGAAAAAAGACAAAGGTGTTAATAAAAAAAAAAAAGAAAAAAGAAGAGAAAAGAAAACCAGAAAGGAGGTGTTGATTTTAGGAACTTTGATTTACTTGGTTTTGCTTAAAAACATTAAGCTATTGCATTAGAAGTGTCCTTTGAAAAAAGGATGTCTGCCTTTCAAAATCCTGCATGGGAAAACGTTGGGGTTTGTGTCAGGCAGAGCTCACAGATATTTTTTCAGATGCAAGTTTAAAAACAGACACCCTTTTTGAAAGAGATTTTTGGGAGTTCTTTCTTTGTAACTTGACAGGACGGTTTGTTCATGTCAATAGTCTTTTGATCACTCCAAAGACACTGAAATCAGAAATGTCAATGCTTGCAGCCTTTTGATGCAGCTCCCTTAAGTATTGTTACAAGAGGAATACAGAGATTATTATTATTTTTTCATTTGCCAAGTTTGTGAGTCCATCCCAGAGCTCTTGGGAGACTGATCCACATTTGTGGGTCTGACCTGGAGCACTTGGAGCCTGGAACCTCCTCAGTGTTGTGAGTTACACAGTGAGAAGTGTCTGCACTTTCCTGCTCTGGGTTTGGCTTTGGGCTCTCCAGGTGTGTTGCCTCTTTGCAAGGCAAGTTATCACCATCACTTATTGACATCCAGTTACCCACGTGGACAGGGGTTAAATCTGAACCTCCTTCTTCCTCATCTCCCTGAATCAGTGGGTTTCTGAGTGCCCCTCTGCATGTGAACAGCAGCAGAACCATTTCCTAACTCAGTTGTCCTGCCGACCATTCCTCACTCCAGTTATAAAAGAAATACAACAGGCTTTAGCTTTTTGTTTTTAAATGCCCTGTAAACCTCGAATTAGGAACATAAAGATGTGAATATATAGGGTTATCCTCTCCTGAATATCTTTGTAAACCCCGATCACAAAAGCTGTAGGGAATATTCTCTGTTGAACTGAAATTCAGCAGAAAAAGAAAGTACAGAGTTACAAACAAATTCTGGCATTTTTACAGTCTGGTTTTTTATTTACGTGTACAAAAAATAGTGATTCTCAATGTCTTTAAATGGATTACTTGTTTTACATGAATTATAATCTACAGAGCAACCATTTTCTATAGGATTTGGTTTGTAGCTGATGTAATGATTACGAGGAGGTTAATCCTCCAGTCCAGATGGATCAGGTGCAGGCCCTGAGGAAGCAGGATTTCTGTCAGGGGGGTGAACCTGGATTTGTGGTCTGCCCCACACATATCTCAGGGATCAGGGAGCCTCTGGAAGCACAGGTTGAAATCCCCGTTGAAGCTGGTGGGAGTTTTGTTACTTCAGTGGATTTAGAATGTCACTGGAAGGATTTTTAGGTGCTTTTTAAAATCAGAAGGTGACCTGTTTAACACTGACCCCAATCATTCACTGCACAACTTCTGTCCTGCTCAGATTCCCAGTCACACATCCACAAACCGAAAGGAGAACTGTGGGAGAGTAAAACTCTGGATTTGAAGTGACAAAGTCACTGGAGGTGTTTCCCCCCCCAGCTCTTGCTGGTTATTCTGGGCAGCAGAAGCTGTGCCGATGCCCAGTGCTTTGGGAGCAGTGGGAAACAAGGAAACCTAAAGGAATCCAGGAAGATCCAGAACTGCAGACCAGGGAAATGAAATCAGTTTGTCACAGAAGATTTTTTTTTTGTTATTGACATCTTTAGTTTGTTTTGATGTCTGTAATTAAAGCGCTAATTATGTGTTTCTGTTGCAGTGGTCATGCTTTTATTACATAATTGCTACAAGTTTTTCTCTCACCACCAACAATATTTGTTTAACCTTAGTGCATTCTAGTTACATCCTTCAGAATGTAAAAGCTGAGGAACAGAGTTATTGATTGTTACAATTAACTAAATCAGAGGGGCTCAAAGTTCTTTGCCATAAATTAAATATGTTTTGTGGCAGAGGATCAAGGATAATTAAAGGATGAAGCAACCACAGTCATTAAACAATAAATATTATTTCTACACCACTTGAAGAAAATAAAGCAAAAAAAAAGAAAAAAAAGGAGTAAATCTGATGGCTTTTAAAAGGAGGGGAAAAAAGTTTAGCCTGGGGTAAAAACATCATTTAAAAAAATAATTTGTACTGTGATCCTTTGAGCTTCCTTCTGTGTTGTCTTAAAAAGCATCTGATTAGGTGAGATGCAATTCAGTCACCTTCTCTTCTATTTTTGTTTCCCTTTTGAGTTTAGGCATAATTTTTGTCAGTATATTTCAATGTATTCATTAATTTTTCTCATTTGTTTATTTTATGCAAACCATAAGAGACATTTTTTCCTCAGTGAAGATTGCCTCTTTATTTTATTTTGAAATATTTGTATATTTATTTCATTAAATGAGATAATGCTTTTTCTTATTAACATAATTTCCAGTACATTAAACATATTTCTCCACAGACAGAAGAGAGGAATCAGATTAAATGACAGTTAAATCACTTGCAGCAATTTCAACTGTTAAAAGAAATAAGTGTCTCTGTTTTCTTTGTGATCACGAGATGTGCTGTAAAGGGAAATGAAATCCTAAAGAAAGGAGGGAAAACATAAAGAAATAATGACTGACTTATTGCAGTAATACCACTGAGAGAAGACAAACTCACTACAAATAAAAGGAAAAATAATATAGTGGTTTTGAAAGTTACCAAAATTCATTTCTTATTGATGAGATCAGTGCAAGCCTTGCACTAAGTAAACTGAGGGGGGGGGAAAGCAAAGCACACCCAGAGCCAGACAATGCCATCCACTGGGGGGGAAGAAAGAAGAAATAAATACTGGGCATTTGGAGGGCTGGCCCTCTAAATGCCTTTAATTTGGAAATAATTTCATTTTGTCACATTTAGGGGAGGGAGGGGAGAAGCAATTCCCTCTTGGTGGTGTCCCTCTGGTGGTCAGGGCTCCCCAAATGTCCACGTGTCCTGATCCTTGGAAGCTGTGGGGCTACGGGAAGGGCAAGAGTTATCTTTTTTTAACTCTTCTAAGATATTCCAGAATGATTATAATAAGAAATGCATTTCTCTTAATGATATCTTTATTGTTATTTTGATTTGCAGAGTCTGAAGGAGCTGCTTGGCAGAGCTCTTCGGGCTGAGTGACTGGGCTGAGCATTCCCAAGGTAAGGTTCACATCCCTGCTTTGCCCCAAGTCAAGATTTCCTCTCTTTGTGCTTTTAGCTCTAAACCAATTATTTGTCTCCAGTTTTATGTGCCTGATCCTGCAGTCCTGAGGAAGGACCAGTCCAATAGTTGCCATTTTCCTTCTCTTTCTCACTTTCCCATCAGTGCACTCTGCAACTTGAAGCTCTGTATGCACAGTGTGTCAAACACTCTGATTTTCAGCTTCAAGATGAAATCAGAGAAGGGATTCTTGTGCTGGGGGGCTTGGTCTAACCTGCTGCTCTGTCCCAGAATTAACTAAAACCACAGTTCTTCAAGGATTTTAATTGTAGTATTTTTGCTTTTAAATGCCTGATGAGGAAAAGCCATGTCAGTGGGGTGCAGCATCCTCCCTTATGCAGGGAAAGAGGTGGGAAATGGCACATTTTGAGGCTTCTGTGGAACTGTTTCCTGGGGCTGGAGAGCAGACTCTGCCTTCCTGCCCCTGCACTCATGTGCTGAAGCTGAACAGGGTCATTTGCACTCTGGGGTAGGTGTCCCTCGTGTTCTCTTTGGAAGTTCTATTTGTTGTGCCAAGGGGAGTTGTCAGGGAATGGAGGTGGTAATGGAATTTAGCAGTTGAGGAGACTCTTAGAAATTCCAGTGCATGTGAAACACAATTAAAGAAATCAAACCAGAAGCCTCTGTCACCATCCTCTGGGGACATCAGCCAAGGGGGAGAGTCACAGCTGTGCCACTGCAGGGGCAGCAGAGCCCTGGCTCCCAAAATGCTCCAAAGCTCCTGGTGGGCACGGGCTGAGGGTCATTTCCAGTTCTGCTGCCCGATCCCTGTGTGAGGAAGCACAACAGAGAGAGCTGGTAAGTGGAACTGAGCACAGAAACATTTCTGACACCGGTGCTTGTACTTACAACCTTCATTACCATATTTTCAGAGGGCATAATAAGCATTAATGTGTTTATTGTGCCCTTGTGGGTTGGGGCAGGAATGTTGTCCTTTTTCACACACGTGGAATTGAAACCTGGACAGCCCAAGTGCTGAAGCCCAGCTCCTGTGGGAAGGCTGCCAAAGCCCTGCTCCAACCCTTCTCCAGGTCCTTTCCTCTGGGCTTGTTCCACATGGGCCACAACTCTGCAGGACAACTGGACACATATTCAGCTTCCCATGGACTGACTCTCCCTCTGAAATAAAGGGAAATAACACTTGGGAATTGATGGCACTAAAAGCAACAGCAGGTTTGAGCCTGCAGTTTATAAAAGTGCGTGTAAAGGCTTAGTTAACTTCTGAAAGTGTTTTTAGATGAAGTAAGTGATGAGGAAAATCTGCTTCCAAATTTAACAAGTTTATATTTTGCATATTCCATACCAAGGCCATTTTTCTTCTTGAGACACCACAAGAAACTAAATCAGCCTTTGGCTGTGAGGGTACAATGCTGAAGGTATTCCAGAATAACATGCTTTAGCTTTGGGGAAATATAAAAGCATGACTACATTGGGCTTTTTATGTTATGTAACAGCAGTTTTTCCATTCTGCACTAAATATCGCTTTCAGATTTCTCATCGTGCATGATATTGCCTATTTCATGCCTCTGACAAAGTGGCTGAAACAAGCTCTTTCCCCAAACTTGTGATATTTGTGGATAAAGGATTATGACCTGTGGTATTTTTGAAACAATGAATAAAAGGCAGCATTGCTTAGGCAGGTGCACACAAGGTGCTGGGTTTCTTGGCTGATGCCCCAGCAAAGGTCTGTGTCAGAGTTCAGAGGGGATTCCAGAGGGTTGGGCTCCCCCTTTCTGTGCTTGGATTAGTAGGTTTAAGATCTGGACTGGTCTGGGACAGATACTGGAATATTTTCTGTTTCAGGCAGTCCTTTGGCCGTGTGACCTGTTCCATCTGTCATATGGCAATACTGGAAAATTAGGGAGCAAATGTGCTTCCTTAGGGGGGTGCTAAAATTCCCCATATCTTGCTGATGTGTGGTGGCAGTGCCATTCCACACTCTGAGGGTTTGGTAATAATGTACCTCCCTTTTCTGGAGAGAGTGCTCCGGGTTCATGGGAACACTCGAGTGCAGAAGGAACTGGGAACTGTGCTTCTCTTGGCAGTATTTGAGGGAACAAAGTGAGGCTTCATTCTTGGGTTTGGTGGTTGGCTTTTTGATTTTGTTTGACACAATAGCAATGGCAAAATGAGAGAGGAAAAACTAAGCTTGTTGTCTCTGCTCTTCAGAGAAGACCTTAAACAGCAGGATCTCCCCACCCCGGTGTGTGTCTGACTTGATTATTCCTGTCCTATGGGAATCTCGTGCAGCTGGACAATATCTGCACTGGAGAAGTGTGGAAATGCAAAGTACAGCTTTGGTGAAAATCAGATTCTCTATTCCCTTTATTTGTTGGTTCCTGGGACTGTGGTGCAATTGCTTCTCTCTAAAATGATCCTGTGTGAGGGGTGGGCACTGTGCCTTTCCCTCCTGGATGAGCAGAGTTGTCCATCCCTCTCACACTTGACTCACATCAAGGTTAGGATTTTTAACTTTTTCTTTTGTTTTGTCTGGTGGTTTTATTTTCCCTGTTTGCAAAGGAGAGAGAAGTTTCAAAAACCACAGGGTTCATGAGGTGGTGTGGGAGAACAAAAAGTGATCATAGAAACCCAAGTTTCAATAGTTCTGTTGCTTTGTGGAACAGATCATTGTTTCTTTTTACGGAAATTCAAATGGAAAAAGTGGCTTAGATGGAAAAAAAAAATCGCCACTTAGTGTTTCTCTTGATATTTCCAGCAAGTCAATGTGAACATAATAAAATGATTGTGTTTCTTGAAAAAATTTTGGTTAAATTTAGCTTTGTTTTCTGCTTAAAAAAAGGGGAGGGGGGGGAGTGATAATAAATGTCATTTGCAAATAGAAGTGTCCTCGGTTTCCTGTTTTCAGTAGGCTTAAGATAATTCATTTGTTCTACTTGTAGTTTGTCAATTGATGCATCCCTTCCAAAACTGTCTGTGGGCCCTCTTAGCCAGAGTTTCCTACAGTTATTTTTGCACTATTGTTAAACAGAACCATGCAACATGTTGCTTTTTGAATTTATTGCGTGGGATCAGCACATAGTTTTCCATTGTGGCATATTTGTGTGTTTGTCACTTTTATTGTTTATATGCCAGCATATGGCCAGAAAGACAAACTTCTTCCCTCAGCTTTCTTCTTTTGTATTGTTCGGGCCACAGTGCCTTTACATCAACAGTTTGTAGAAATCAAATTCCTGGAATATAATCGCTTTGCTTAAGAAAAAAAGAAGGAAAATTTGAAGAATACAGGGATCAGTGAGTGTTCAGTGAATGGCTTTATTTTACTACCCAGGGCTGCACAGAGGGCAGAAAAGCAAATGCCTATTTTTCTTTAAACTCCAGTTTAGTTGTTTAGTCTCCTGTATCTCCTGATGCCACTTGCACGGATACAGTGACCGCACCAAGGGCTTTTCTGAGCAAGCAGAGCTCTTCACACTGGCAAAACTCTGCCTGCACGGACATCAGTGCATGACAAGGACCATATGTCTGCACTTGTGGTGTGTGTAACCCCAAACTACTCATTGCAGTTGCTCTAAACTTGACCAGAGATAAATGGGTTTTGTTGGGTTTTTTGGTGTGGTTTTTTGGTGTTTTTGTTTTTTTTTTTCCAGTTTTGATGGTGTAATTGTAGTTTCGTTCAATTTTGACTTTTAGAAAACACCTTTTTTCTTAATTTCTCTCTGGCATCAATACTTATGTGACACTCTGATAAAGAAATTTCTCGGTTTATCTATTAAAAAAATCAATTCAAACTAGGCCGCATCCATAAAGTGATCAGCTCTGTCATTCCATGGATTATTGCCACCCACTGGCAGATGATTTGTCTGTAATCTGAGGCAGGAATGTTGTTGTTTGCACGGCTCCTGTGGAACAAGGAGTTAAAGTTTTAAGCAAAATAATCATTAACTTACAAAACTCTCATTTCTCGTCCGTGTGGTTCCAATGTGGTTCCGTATTTTCAGCTCTCCCAGTAACCATCTTGAAATTCCATCCAGCAGATATATCATGATAAATCCCCTCTGTTGGCTTCTCCTGTTTTCCCTGTTTTTTGGAAGCTGTTGCCACACCACGGAAAGGCTGCTGGAAACCAGATCCTGATTGTCTTTAGTTTCTCTGGTTAGTTAAGTACTTTCACGAATACCAACTGTGATTTGAGGTGAAGAATCCCTGCAGCAATTAGGATTCATTTACTACTGGAGCATTTTATTAATTACACATTTGTAACCACATGGATGGGCACAAACCCGCTCACACATGTCTGTATTTAGAGATTTGTAGACAGAAGATTTAACGTAAACATAGAAATGTTAAACTACTCATGTGTAGCCTGCAAAGGAGATAACAAGAAGGATTCTGTTCTCTGCGTGATTTGTGAACAATGCTAAGTAAATATTCATCATTAATATATAATAACTGTTGCTTTTGGCAGTTCACTTTTCATTTAATTTGATAATGTGTCCAGCAAATGAAGTGGTACAGGCTGCAGTGTTTTACCACCACAATTGCGTATTTTCAATCATTGTTAAACGAAGGCAGCTCAAGGCAAAGCTTTAACCCCCACTAGTTTTGTGTGTGATAAAAGGAGAAGGCGCTATCAATCTTTATTGTCTGTCTCGCCGGCTGTAATTGCATTCAATAGTCCACTGATTCCGTGGCTGTGCCGGTGTCGGGAGCAGGGAAGAGCCAGATGCTCGCACTGATCACACGCATCCAGCGGCCACTTTGATGAGTTGGCAGAGTCTGGGGGTCCGATGATGGATTGTTCGCGCCGGGGATGACGAGCAGCTGAACGCTGGAGTGCGTGGGGAGGAACTCCTGCCCTTCCGAGTCCGGCATTCCCAGCCCGGCTCAGTGTGTTAGTCCAATGCATCCCCGTGTTATGCAAATGCATCCCTGTGTTATTCCAATGCATCCCTGTGTTATTCCAATGCATCCCTGTGTTATTCAAATGCATCCCGTGCTGCAAACAGTGCCGGTAGTCACTGCGTCCCCGTGAACACCAAACAACCACTAAACCCCCAAAGAGCCTCCGAGTAACTTAAGGTGACATTAAGAGCCCCCGAGTAATTTAAGGTGACATTAAGAGCCCCAACACTGTAACAGGTATCTCAAAATAGTCTCCAGTAGTTACAATTATCTGATTCAACCGGAGAGATTTGGAATTACAGTATCCCGTGCTTTAATCCACCTTAAAAGTTGTTCGGTTTTTTCCTTGGCAGCTTTCTTTTTTCTTTAATTTGGAGTAGTAGCTGGAATGTTTTACAGAGAAACAGCCAATACTGCTTTGGTGCAGTTTGAACAGTGAGGAAAAACTCCAATGGAAACAAGGGGACTATGGAATAATTGCTTTCTCTATGTTACCTACACCTTTACTCTCTGTCCCACACCAAATGTTCTTCACAGGTTAATTATTTAAGCT